CACACTTGCTACACCCACATGCTATACCTACATACTATACCCACCCCACTTGCTACACCCACATGCTATACCTACATGCTATACCCACCCCACTTGCTATACCTACATACTATACCCACCCCACTTGCTACACCCACATGCTATACCTAATAACCCCCCCCCCCCCCCCAAGGCTCTCAGCTGGCATCCGGCCACCCTCAGGCTCATCCTGATTTTTATGTTAGATCACTAATACCTCTGCATGTCTTTTAGCCTGGCTGGAATTCACTTGCTGTTACCATGGTTAAGGCAGAGGAAGCATCATTTTCTGCTACCACATCTCCAAACATGCGCTAAAAAGGTTACTGTGAAATACTGGGAGGTGCAGCCTTGTCAGCTCTCCAGCCGGCTCAGTAAAGTGCACACAGGAAGTTCCTCTTCAGGTTTCCATTCTGGTCATAACTCTAGCTCATCCTCACAGCTTGTCAGAGTGCAAACCCGCTTTCTGGCTGCAGTCCAGTGTGCTTCAGATCTTTATCTTCCATTTTGCTTTCTTTTTGGCCTTCTTTTTGTTCTGCTGCATGCCTGCAGGCTGATGCTGTGTTACAAAGCTATCGACTCAGGGATCTGAAATAAAAAATCTGTATATTAAAGTGATGGTTGGGGTATCAGATAGACAATAACGGTTCAGATCAGTGTTTCCCAATCCGATCCTCAGGGACCCGCATACAGTCCACGTTGGACAAACTGGCAGGGAGCTGGGAGGGAGCAAAAACGTGGACCGTCTCTGGGTCCCCAAGGAGCGGGTTGGGAAACGCTGGGTTGGATGCATAAGCAGAAAGAGTAATGGCATGCACTGCTGTTGTAGAGACTGGCTGTAAGCCCAGTTGCTGTTGTACATCACAAACAGCTTTTATTATACAGATATCCCATCTACTGCTTTGCCCCCTTTGAAAATGAACTTACTGCTGTTTTGGATAAATCAGTTTCTGTATGACTGGAAAGGAAAAATGGAATTTTAGCCTCTCATTCACGTTTTCCCTCACTCCTCGTGGGAACAGAGTTTGACCGTTTCCATATCCCACGACTCAAACATAACTCCAACATTTTCCAGGTTGCCAATTCTGTTGGACTTCCCGGTTCCATTTTCCGGTACCCCGGTTTCATATGTGGGCTCTGAGCCCAGTCACGGCGGGCAGTGCCAGGCAGGGTGAACACGGGCAGTGCACCATGAAGTCTGTGTGTGAGAGAAATGGATTGGGTTGGAATTTGGGGGACATGAACTATGAAACGGCTTTGAGGGGTGAACAGACTGAGGCTTCATCTACATGTGCTCATGCCTACTGCCTCGGAAGGGTCTACAGCAGCGTGCTGTTCAGTGCTCTAAAAAATACCCTTGTGCTCTGCCATGGCAACCACTGAAGCTGATGTCATTCCCTTGTTTAGTTCTAGATTGTCGAGTGAGGCAGTTTATCAGGCAGTGTGAACAGTGATTTACTTGTTACACAGAA